CTGAATGATCATCACCTCATCATTCAGCCTTCTCAACTGACATGCAAAACAACATCCAAATATTCATTGCACATCTGTGCTGGACAGATTATGCATTAGCAATTCAAATCAATTCAATGTACAGGCAGTTTCTGTAAAGGCGTCTGTTTGGGTGAGATGCCTTGTTGTCTGGGATGGATAATAAGGCAACTCTGTCTAATCTTGGAGAACAATCAACCCATCTTGAGAAGGTGACTGACTACGTATGCTCTTGCCCTGACAGCACTAGAACAATGGCCCCATAATGCACTTGACTCAGCTGGTAATAAAATCTACTTTTGATTAGCAGCCATGGCTTGTGTCAATCACTGCATGATGTACCATTGTCCTCTGGTCCTGAACACAGTTTATTTACAGGGAAACAAAAGCTTTTTGGATATGGCTGCTGCCCAGAGATTGCAAAATAGATTGAGCTGTCAGCCTCACACACTAGATGAAGATTAATGAGTTGTGCAGACAATAAATATGAAGCAATGACCATAAATATGCTAATAGGTATTATCCATATACACTATAATTGCAACAAAAATTAAAAAGTAGTGTGAAGGAAATAGGTCACAGGGTGACAGATAGATAATCTTGGATGCTGAAGATCTTTGGTTCAGTCAGATTCTCTACAGGTTTATTTCCTTCAATTAGACCCTTCAAAAGAGTAATTGTTTAAAAGCTTTTTGAATAATCTCTTTGAAACAGAGGTTTATGGGAAAATGTTTATGAAAAAGTGACTTCAATGAACATGTTATTGGAATGAAAAAGGTGACTACCAAAAGCAGGCTATGCAGAGATTAATGTAAGTGATCAGCTGCCCAGCTTCACTATGAGGAAAATATCTCTAAGTGGCACACTAGTGAGGACTTCAAGGAAAACATACTGAAGAGACACAGCAGTTTATATCCACAGACACAAATGGGTAAGGTCATTCACGAGCAAAATATAGAAGAGTTGCATGTACATCTGGTTGTCTTGGTTTGTTTGGTTTTCTCAGCTTAGCACACTTTTTTTCCTTTTTTTTTCTTTTTTTTTTTTTTTTAACTGAAGAAGGGAAGGATGCCCACGGCTCAAATTTTCAGAGAACTTCCAATCAAGCTTCTGGTTTTCCAATTCCTTTCAAAGAGCACACAGTCTAGACAGTTTTTGACACTTAAGGATTTCATTTGAATCTGAAACTCAGAGAATTAAACATCAGACTATGTTAGCTACATGTATAAATGCTCCAGCACCTAAGGCTACTGAAATTGTAGTGACACTGAAAATAAAGGCAATCGTACTCTCGGTACTCATGGCTTTGACTCTCTGTTCTCTGAGGCTTAGAAGTGCCACTGGGTGCTTTTCAGGTCAGCTCACACCACCCATCTCCTCTCCTCAGATTTTTAGCTTCTGGAGCGGGCAAATTACTCAGATACTCTCCCAGATCCAATTTACTGTTATAATGTCAGGCTCGGTGATACAAATGAGTTATTTTTTCTTTCCTTCCATACTTTAACTAGAAGTTGCATCAGTTTGGCTCTTAAAATTATCACTGCTTGGATTTTTGGTAAACAGTCCACACAGACTTACAACTGCCTTAGGGCTTCTGTGCCAGGCTCCCTGCAAACTGAGCTGGACATCAACTACACTTGCCTAACATCTTGAAAGTTACACTTTCTAACCAAAAATATCAGTAAAATAAAGCAAAAAAAGGTAGGGGACCATTTAGGAAAACATCTTACACAAAGCTGGCAGGTGAGAGGAGAAGCACGTCTTTCTGGATGAATTGGTGGAGGGGGAGGACCTCTGGAAGCTGAAGGCTCAGGGACTGACTTCTTGTTCCCCATCCCACTTCAGCAGCGACACTGGGTCTTTTTAAACTGGAGGCTGTGATGTTAGTCATGTCACATGTTGCCAGGGCACAGCGAGGCCCTGTCCCACCACCCCAAGCAAAGTGAGACCCAGAGATGATAGGCATGTTGAACCAAGAGTCCAAATAATCAGGCAAGTTTGTAGTGATGAGGCAAGTCCAAGGTCAAGCCAGAAACATGAGTCACCAAATCAAGTTCAGGTCTGGTGATGGTAGCCAGTGTCAGTCACAGTCCAGTGACTGCTGGGCAAGTCTGTCCTTGCTAACCAGGCATGTCAAAAGTCAAGCCATGAAGGCGGGCTGCAGCTCAGCCTGGATCAATGAGGTATGGCTTTGATGGAGCTGCAGACTGGTGCACCTACAGCATCGCTCAGGAGGGACTGAAGGCCCAGGGAAGGCTGGCCAGGGATGTTAAGACCTAATAGCAGATTCAGCCCTGACACAGGTACAAGACACTGACCTTGTTTTCAGTCTTTTCATACAAGAGATTGTCCCAAGTTTTCATAATAAGCTGTAAACAAGTAAAAGCAAACTGATGCCAGGTCAGAACTTCTCCATAACTTACATTTGCCATGCCACTACAGTAACAAGAACATGAAGGTAGGCAGAGCTCAGCTGTTTTTAGCACCATGTCATCTATGCCTACTCACATGTTCCTCATCCAACTCACTGCAACCACATAGCAGATTTTAGAGCCACCTCCTTGATGACTAGGGCCATGGCACACTTGTAAACAGGGGTTTCCCTTGAATCCCTTCGGTGGCTTCCCTCTCCTTATTACACTGAGTTTCTTCACCTTGTTTTTATGAGACTACTATTCATTTCTCCTTTCCCTGCTTGTTCACTGATATCTCTGACAATCATGAATTGCCTTAAGGCACTTTGCTTGCAGTAAAACTTTTCTTTTTGTCATGGTTTAACCCCTGCCAGCAACTAAGCACCACGCAGCCACTCGCTCACTCCCCCTCCCGGTGGGATGGGGGAGAGAATTGGAAGGGTAAAAGTGAGAAAACTCATGGGTTGAGTTAAAGACAGTTTCATAGGTAAAGGAAAAGCTGTGCATGCAAGCAAAGTAAAACAAGGAATTCATTCACTACTTCCCATGGGCAGGCAGGTGTTCAGCCATCTCCAGGAAAGCAGGGCTCCACCACGCGTAACGGTTACTTGGGAAGACAAACGCCATCACTCCGAATGTCCCCCCCCCCCTTTGTTCTTCTTCCCCCAGCTTTCTATGCTGAGCATGACATCATACGGTGTGGGATGTCCCTTTGGTCAGCTGGGGTCAGCTGTCCCAGCCGTGTCCCCTCCCAGCTTCTTGTGCACCCCCAGCCTCCTCGCTGGTGGGGTGGGGTCAGGAGCAGAAAAGGCCTTGACCTTGTGTAAGCACTGCTCAGCAATAACGAAAACATCCCTGTGTTATCATCAACACTGTTTTTCAGCACAAGTGCAAAACATAGCCCCATACGAGCTACTGTGAAGACAATTAACTCTATCCCAGCCCAAACCTGCAGAATTTTATCTAACTTTAACTATTTTTAGTTAAACAACGTTGTGTATATCCATTATGAATTTGTTTTAGGATTGAGTAAAAGGTCATCACATACAGAGCCTCGGCAACTTTGTGAAGTCTTCATTCCCTGTGGCTTTGCCAGACTTTATCATCATTTCCTGATGGGCTGTTCAGAATATTAAATAAATTATATTAACAAAGCACCAAAAGATTTTAGCAGATTTGAAGGAAGGATCTGTAGCAATATGTACAAAGAAAGTGACGTTTTTGGTTTTATTGTCACTTTGAAGAGGGCCTATAGCATTAATTGTCCTATTCTTACATGGAATTTTACTTGCATTTAAGCTGCAACTTTAGGTATTTTATAACATTAAGTAATTCAAAATGATAAATGAGAGACTTGAGAAATTATGGGGATAAAGATGCATCATAATTGCAGAATCCCTAATGCAAGCAGAGTAGAAAATAAAAGTAACAAACATTAGCATTAAAGAAAACTAACATATATGAATTAAAGAAAAATTGAATGAAAGAAAAGAGTTAAAAGAGCCGTGCTGCTCAGGGGTACATGCACCAGATATCCCACTGCTCAGATAAACAGCACGTAGAAGAACAGAGAAAAGGACTTTGTATCCTTTGTTCTACAACCCACCATGTACAAGATACGGATATTATGCAACCGTGAAAATGCTATATTTTTATTCTGTATATTTCTGCTTTGAGAGCCACCCCTGTGGTAGTGTGACCTAATCAGATATTCCTATTTACCTAAGGGAGGAGACCCATGGATTTTTAAACAGCCTTATTTAAACTACTGGCTAAGGAATACTGTGATAAAGGAGTGTGTGCCATTTGCAAAGGCCTGTTCATTAAAGATGGAGGCTCTGCTTTAGCAGGATTTGCATGAGGAAGAGCAAAACATCTGTGTCAGTCTGCCCATATGACGCAAAGTCCCCTAACAGTTCCTTCCATAAAGAAATTAATTTCAAGCATCCGTTGTTAATTGAGTTCTGATTTCCAGCTCTCTGCAAACTAGTTCTTTTCGGGGGTAGCTGTACTCTGGGTGCTATAACCAACTCAAGTTGCACTTTCCGCATGACCACCATTTTGCTGCCTTTTTGTCCACTGTCTTTACTCGGAGTAGCGTTGATTCTTAAAACGAGGGGCTATCTCCTACAGATGCAATTCAGTACAATAGAATGCAATGCAAAAGAATGAAGAAGCAAAGTTCTCAGCCACATCAGTTGCCAATCGATGATTTGTATGCTACTAATTTGTTTTAGTATCCTAAGATGAAATCAGTTGGTTTGCCTAAACTTCAGCCTGACAACAGCAATAAAAAGGCATGTTCATGGAGTTCAGTTTCATTTCCTGGATGAGGATAAGTTTCGGTTTCTTTTCTTTCTGATCGTAGTAGTGGTTTCATTACTTTGCTGTTAGCTAAAGAGTGTATAAAAACCTTGGCTGAGCCTCGCAGTTCGAGGATAAGTTTTGGTTTCTTTTCTTTCTGATCACAGTAGTGGTTTCATTTCTTTGCTGTTAGCTAAACAGTGTATAAAAACATTGGCTGAGCCTCGCAGTGCTTTAGTGGATTCCACTCCATCAGAAAGAGAAATGTCCAACCAAAACGTCCGCAATGCTGGTTTCACTTCCTCTGGGATCAAAGGAGGATCGCTTGCTTCATCGATGATGTCCCGGGAAGCAAAAGGGTCTGGGGGAGGCGTGCATTCTGGAGGCCCTACTTCTACTCTGCAAGGAATGGGTATGAGCAATTTTGTGTGTGTGTGGTTTTGTGGTTTAGTGCGTAGGGCCAAACAATTCTTTTTTCCTTGAAAATAAGCTTGCTAAGTAATCTCTTCTCTCCTACATTTCTGTATTGCACCGAAGACAAAAGATTCCTATATTTAACTGCATGTTATGAGTGGGATGCTATTAAGGGTGTTTTTGTGTATGTACATATGCATGAATGTACACACGCATGAATGTACACATACATATGTGGTATTCATGAGATTCAGGACTGTTTATTTGAAGTTTGTGCTATCTCACTATTCTGCTAGGAAGCATCAATAATATGGAAAGTCACAGTAGCAATAAGCAACAGTACACTTATGCAAGAACATGATCTGTGTACCTACATTTCATATAAATTATCAGATTTCCCTTGCTCTTTACTCACACACATCCATACAGGGAGAACCCATAAAACCTTATGCAAATGCTGTAGCAGAAGGAAATTAGCTGCAGTCCAAGAGCTGAATTCACAAAGGGAATATATACACATCCTTGACAGCACGTATCTAAGTGCTAAAATTAGGTATAGCTGGCTTTCACATGAACTAACCCTGCAGGTGCTTGCTTCTCTGTTGCATGCACAGAGCAATCCCTGACCTGACGACCCTAACCAGCTTGGCACTTGTTTAACCCCAGATCCCGTGGGATTCATGCACAAGGCATTCTCCCTGCCAGTCCTGACTGTGTGACCTAATGCAGCAGGCATCCTCTAAGCAGGCATAACCCCAGAGAAGGGAGTGCTCCATGTGATCCTGCTTTACCCAACAGCACAGTAGTTAGCAGGCTGACCTCGGATAAAAGCTTCAAAACCCTTAGGGGTCTTGGACCCACATCTCCCACGTGTCAGGAGCGCACTGAGCAGCCGGCTGCAGGCTGGTTATAGGTGGGGCTCTCTGCCATAGCGGTCAGCTGCTGCTCTAATCCTTTCGTAGTAAGCAGCTAGAAGTCTACTGAAGGATGGAGCTGAACCTGACTCTTCCAGCCATAAAATGGGTGGTTGCCCAGGTGAGCTGACTGCGGTCCAGATTTGGGGCACCTTTTAATGGTAAAAAATGCGATAAGCTTGATCGAGAGGAAGTAAGGGGTTTTTTTAAGATATGATTTACATTGCTGCCAATATTATTCATAGCATGAGGCTCTCTAGACGGTGAGGGAATAAGTGACATAAGGGTCATTTAGAGAGATACTGCGTGTGACTGCTGTGAGGCATTTTTAATTTTTACTCTGTATGATCTGATCAGTGAGTTTAGGTTACTCTTTATTGAATATGCAATAGCAAAGAGCTTAAGGGATGGTAGCAGCAGAGGGAAAAAATATGTGAGACAGACAGGAGAGGAGGAGGACTGAGAGTGAAGAGCAGCAAGAGCTGTTCTCAGGCACCACGCTGCATTAGCGCCAGAGATCCTGGTACTCAGGAGTTGCCAGTTACTTAATCTAATCATACCCTAGAGCGGAGTCAGCTGCAGGATACTGCCTTCTGTTACAGATAAGGGTGGCACAGCAGTACTCAGCGCACCCGTAACCAGTGGCAAACTCTTCAGTAGTGATGCACTAGACAGAAGGCATGAAGTTGCAGTTTCTAAAATAAAAGGCTGAAGACTTGTATCCCTCCATGTGCTGAGAAACTTTAGAAAAGAGAGAAGCGAAGTAAACATTTAACAACACCAAGTTTTATCCTTTCCCTGTCTGTATCAACTATGCACTTTTATGAAAACCACTGGTTTTGGTGAAGAGAAATCTGCATGGCTCAAGGAAACCTTAGCCATGCCTACAGGAGATACTCCAAAAGAGCTTTTATCCATGTGAAAAATGCTAGCTCTGTAACATTGCCAAGGCAGGTGTGAGCTTTGGCTCCCTGCAGCAGGAGAGCTTGCCACACATTCTTTGCCTGATTGAGAGCTAAAAGGGCCTGATTTCATTTCCGCAGGTGCTCACTGAAATCTCTTACTCTTCAAACACATCTTCTTAACCTTTTCATTCAGACTGTAACCCCTCCCCCAACAAACACGCTCCAAGGAGCGGCTGATTCTGCAGCAGGGCATGAGTATTGTTCAGTATCACTTTACAGAAGATGTTATAAAAAGCTCATCACCAAAATATTTGAGCATCCTCCAGGAATGCTTTAAGCATTATCACTAATGTTTCTCATTGCTAATGCTTTACTCCTCTCTCAGGAGAAGAAGAGTTTGCAATGGGATACTTTCCTTGGGGCATATTTGTAATGAGACAGAGACATACATATAAATTGGCCACTGGCTACCACAGCTTGCTGTGTTTGACTTCTACAGGTATCTACTATGCATAGGTTTATGCTACAGAAAGTGAAGTGAAAGGAGCATATCTGTCACCTGGAACAGTAAGTGGTGAGGTCTGCAACAGTCCTTAGTTCCTGTAGAGGTTTGTTCCGCAGTCCTCAGGCAGCTCCTCAGAAAACTCTGATTTCGGCAGAGACAAACTGTGCTGAAACTGTTTTGGAGATCCGACTTTATCAAAAACAGTCTGTGCAAGAGTCGTAGATTTTTGTTGTGTTCTAGGAACATCCACAAAACACTGCAAATGTCCTTTCCCCAAGGTGGCAGCTAAAAAGCAGTATACTGATGGAACAAGTCAAGTAATCAGCAGTCTCCTTGCCTTTTGATACATTTGCTAGCCTTGAATTTTTTTTTAAAACACAGTAGTTTATAATTATACCATAAGGTTCCTTCCAGTCAGGAAAACACAGTAACATCTCCTTTGTAACTGTTCTAGGTGCCAAAGGCTCAACCCATTCATCAGGCTTTACCAGCAGCGGGATCTCCCGTGGTTCCCAAGCCTCCCAGATGATGTCCCGGGAGGCCAAATCCCATGGAGGGGGAATTCCCAGGAGCGGTACAACTTCCACTGTCCAGTCCATCTGTAAGTGAGAATCCTCCTAATAAAGATGAAATAACAAATGACTTCTGAGAAGTCAACAGTATTTCAGCTCAAGCATACATTTACCAGATGAAGGAATGTAAATAAGAGAAGTGGCTCCACTGTACTTGAAGCAACATTTCTCCTCTTTGTTGCTTTATACTCACTGGGAAGCTGAAACTAGGGAATTAGTGGAAATAACTGTGCCATAAATTTGCAGTGATATGGACGGATAGAAGAGACAGAAATCTCAAACACATAGTGACAGAAAAAAGGCCAGTGGAAGTTTAGGTTATGCTTTCATCAGCCACACAGTGGAAGTTCATTAAATATTTTTCAAACACAAATTCAGGACCAAACCAAGAGCTTTACATTTGAACACACAAAACAGGTTAAGTAGGAGGAAACAGTGAAACATGAGAACGGAGTTATCAGGCTGACAGACAGGAATCATTAGTCCACTACTTGTGGCCTTTTTAGAACAGCTTAGCTTTCTTTCCTTCAAAGGAAATTCATTGGGTCAAAAGCAGAGGGATCTACCTGCACTTACCAGCTCAAAACAGAGAACAGCACAAGTTTTCCTCATCACCCTGCCAAGTTAATGCAGCCCACACTTAGATAAATCAAACCAAGGTATGAGGAAGCCTCGTCTATACCTGAATGCATCGGTAAGGATGCTAATTATGGTAGTGGGATCCTGTGGGGTTTGGAAGAGAATTGGAGACAGGATTGAAGTTCTTAATTTCAAAAAGTGTCTTTCAAAGTGTGACACAGACCTTTGGTCTCTGACCTGTGAACATTTGTTACCAATGCTCAGATACTCCATATGTTTCCCTATACTGCAACTTTTCTTTAAGTTGTTCTCACACGTTTCTTTGTATTTGTCCTTAGCAATGGGTGGCAAAGGAGGAAAGCACTGAATCGAAGAAAAACATCAGTCCAGAAGTAAGCTCTGCAAACAGTTCATCCTTTACCAACACAGTCATTTGACAACTTCTCCCCTTCTTTGCTCTCCCTGTCACTGATATGAAAGGCAAAGGATTTTTGCATGCACAAATAAAGTTTCTGTTAAAATGATGGATTCTTGCATGAAATTAGTGGGGATGGGGATGAGGGGCAGTTTCTTCCTTGGTTAAACATTCTCTGAAGCACAGGCACAGACAAACACGAGCCAGTAAATGGAAGCTAAGGTACTTTGGACTGCAAGGGTGTCTTACAAAAATCCTGGGTTTAGCAATACGAGACTGTCCAATTACAGGTAGCTTGCTTTGTTTATTTTACAAAAAGTGATCATACTGCAAAAGTCACCCTGTTGTGTGAGAGAAGCATAGCAACACTTGATAAGGGGCATCCAGCAGTTCCCTTTGGATGTACTTCTAATGGGCTATCAAATTAAATTCTACTTCATTAAAAATACATGTAAGCAAATGAGAACAGATCCCAAGAAATTTCATACCTCAGAGGTGCAACTGATATTTGTATCCCTCTATTATTTCTAAGGTCCCTTTCACCCTAATATTTCAAGTCCCTGTTTGTTTATTGAGAGGTGTCTGCTTTGTCACATTTGAACCAAAACTACTCTTGTAAACTTCATGTGATACCTGAGAAGAGGTAAGGAAAGGAGACCACCTTCTCTGGTATAGGTCTCTTGCTGGTCCCCACAGACCTAACTACTTTCATTCATATGTACTCATACAATGATGTTTCCCCGCATCCAGGTAACATTGTCTGTTTCCTATACAAATTCCCACATACATACCTACTCCCCTACAGTTCCATCTTCCTCCTGTCTTTCTGGCTCCTCATCCTCCCTCTGTTATCACCTCCCTCCCTCTGTATTTCTAATAAAACCACACAGAGCAGCTTCTCCTTTCCTCTCCCCCCGCCCCAAAATGAAGGGAGAGAATCTACACCTTCAGGCTAGAAGTTGAGAGACACTAGGTTTGTGGCGCATCTCTTCACAGCTAGGAGATGTGTTTGCACATAGATTTCATTTCAAAGAGACCTTGGTGTGAGGAGAGCGGGGGCAGTTCTCTAGCCCAACCTCCTGCTCGAAGCAGGGTTAACCCTCATGCTAAACTTGTTTGCTCAGGGCTTTGTCCCATCAGGTTTTGAAAATCTCCAACAGAGATGTCACAGCTTCTCTAGGCAACCTGCTCAAAAGTTTTATCACTCTCACAGTTGAGATTTTTTTCCATATGTTGAAACAGAATTTCCTTTGTTGCAAAGCCACGCTGACTCCAATGGATCATTAAGTGCATACTTAATGATGATATATATTTTAGAGTTTTCCCCTTTAGAGATTCACCAATAAATATGCTTTCCTGAACTGGCACCTAAGCCTGAAAATGGTGAAGGTGGGACTAGAAACATCCTTTGCAGAGCTCAGTGCCTCCCAGCGCCATTGCTGAGAACAGACACAGTGTTTGCAAATCACGCGCTGTCACTTCAACAGGAATGGATGTTTTCTCTCTCCCCATACTTTCTGTGCAATCACAGATTTAGAGATTTCTTCACACAATAGTAGTAGCTTATATTTACATGTCAGCTTTCATATTTGAGGATCCCGAACTGTTTTGTTCACTGCAAAGGAAATGCAGCAACATAAGCACGCGTGGGTTTTGGTTTTTTTTATGGTCAGACACATTTTAACTTGACTTGAGTACAAAAGCTTCCCCGCTCATTGCCTGCATGCTGGCTGTCTACTGCTAAATTGTTACCACTGCCATAAATATCTAATTGTAATATTGCTGTCGTATTCTGTAACAAATACAGAAAAGGAATGAAGAACACCATGACCAGGTGAAATGAAAAAAAATTTAAGCTGTTATGGAGAAAAAAAATGAAGTATTTAGGACTCACAAACAGCAATCAGTCTTCAAATCTGAATGAGAAATGTAGGGCATGCTCTCTGAAATGGTATTTTAAGTGTAATCTTCAGCCTTTCTCCCAGCCTGTCTCTATTCTCCTCTAGCATCTCTCCAGGTCTCAGCCACCTCTTCTGCAACAATGATTTTCACACATGCCCCAGTCACCATTAAGCACAAGGCAAAAAGTTTAGCCAGACATAAGCAATAGGATCTGGAAACCGGTGTCACCAACCCCTGAAGAGGGAAGGGAGGGTGAGGCTGCTGGGTTTACTCTGACGAAGTCTGTGTCTGGTTCTTCTGTTCTGCTTGTCCCTGCTTATAACAGGCCTGGCTTTCCCACTGTCCCCACCAAAACAGCCTCCAATTAAGCAATCCCCTTTCCCTCTCACTCTCAAACCTGTTCCATAGTCATCCTCAGTTCGTTTTACGGCAGCAACCTCACAACCGCTGCAGGACATCAGCAGGGTCCTGTTACTTTCCTCTCCCGCTTTGGCTCACCCTCTGCGAGAGCTGTGTTGGAGCACTTTGCTGGCTGGGGCTCTGCCCCCATGTCACCTCTAAAAAAGGCTGCAGCAGCTTTGTCAAACAGCTCCTGGGGTATGGGTATAGAAAGCTGGCTACGTGGCCAAGAGCACAGCTAAATTTTTCTAAGGCACTTAACATTTTCCACTCGTGGCTGCTTCATCACAGTTCTGCCATCTCTTTACACAGGAGGGAGGGAGTATAAGGTCAGTGTAAGGCAATGTGATTTTGACTGAACAGCATTTTATGTCTATTTACTACAGATTAAAGGATGTGGGTAAGAAAAAGGCAACGGAGAAGCTGCATTCTGTCTTTATTGATTTTTACAGATCACCAGTAATTCTGCTTTTGCGGCCTTGTCCATCCAGCATAATGAAAATAAAAGCATTGAAACTCTGGATATTTGGCATAGCCTCAGTGCATATGTGCAAAGATGGACTCAGCAGTTTGCTGGTCTTCGAGTCTGGGCTAGTACATGGCTCTAATTAAGCCATCCTACACTTTCTTCCCAAGGCCTAATGCAGCAGCCTGTGACTACCAAAATGTAGCTGTGATCTACCAGCAGATCTTTATTCCCTTCTATGCCCTTAGCACTGGCACAAGGTACAGCAAGAAGGTCTATATCCTGGCTGTTTCCCATTCAGAGATTCCCCTGCGTGCAAATGCCAAGATACGCTGCCAGAGAGCAGCAAGGACCTGGATTCCCACAAGCAGACATTCAAACACCTGCTTTAGCTATAATGATGCTAAAGGGAGTCTTAACAATGAAACTAATGCAAGAATGACAAGAAATAGTAGAAAAAGTCAAGCATAGACATAAATCGTTGGACAAACAGTTTTGTAAACTGAAGCTGTATTATCCAAGAAACAATATGTGACCATTTCATGACAGTTATAAACTTTGTTTCTTATTTTCCTTCAGAGGGGGAAGATTTAAAACGGGCTTTCAACTTTAACGTTGGCATTTCTTGACCTCAAGTGCTTTTGTCGTGTTAAAAAATGACTATCATTAGTGAGAGCTGACAAAAGGTATTTATGCCTAAAAGGAGGAAAACCAATCCAAACCAAAGCAAGGTTCCTTAATCATGTATCATCATTTCACTTTTCAGCACTTATGTGATTCTGGCATTACTAGTTTGGATTATTTTTCCCATCTTTAGATCGTGTTGTGTTGAGAACTATCCTAGATAGCTTTACTGAGGCAGGGAGCATCCTCAGCTGCCTTTGAATTCACTTCACTGAGTCAGCTCTAATAGGTCTGCAGGAGAACAAAGGTAAATGCTTCCTCCTGAAAGCCTTACTCGCAGACCACTTAAGCAAATTCATATGTACAGTATTACGAATTAAGTATTTACATTTTTAACAGAATATAATTGAAAAGGTCAAATAACAACAAATATGGCAATCTAAATCCCTCACGTCTCTCAATCAATCTTTCCGCAGCAAATAGACAGAGAGAGAGAGAAAGGAAAAGAGGCAGCCGTGTGTGATTACCAGAGCAATAGGACTGAAGCAATACACTGCAGAAAGCACATAGCTCTCTGCACGGAAATCGATTTCTCCCATGGGATGGGGTCGATAGTTGTCTGACAGGACAGTATACAGGCAATTTAATAGCATTTTATCTAAATGAATCTAATCCTCCCCCCCACTGGCCTCACAGTTCATAAGAAGGCTCTCTTAGTAAAATAGATTTGTTTATTTTTTATCATACAACAGGAAAGTATTTATCATTCTGAAGACACTACCGTTGTCTATTAAAAATCATTTATCCCTGTTAGTTGCTCATTACCTGCAACTCTTTAAACTCATGCACGCAGCCCATAAAAATCACTTTCAGTTACTCTGGAAACATTTTTCTTACCCTGAAACATTTTAAACTATAGGTCACCCTTTCAGGAAAAATAAGCCCACAAAGCAGGCAAACACAGTTGACTCGAAGGAGTATTGGTATCTGAAATGACATTTTTATGCAAGAAAAAGCTTATTTTTTGAGGAATGCGTTATACACAGAGATTGGCTGTCCGGTGCGTCTATTTTAATAGTACTTAATAAGTAATAAATAATAAAGCTGAGCTGATCTTATTAGCGGATATCTGTGTGAAGTAAATGGTAATGAATGAGAACCTCTAATAAGCATAATTCCAAGGATGGATCTTTGGTGCTCTGGGAGTTTGGTATTGTGCCCCAAAGGCTCTTGTAAATCCAGCTGCAGTTCTTGCTCATCATTTAGAAGATTAGGGGCTGATAAGCGACAGTCAAGCCTTATTAGAACAGGCTAAGGCAACAGGAAACATTAATTGGGTAATTTAATGCACAAGGAGACAATAAATGCCTGCATTGTGGTTCAGATGCTGTTTCCTCTATTGATTCGTTCATGTCTTATTTTGCGAAATTCTCACGAATTCTTGGTGGAGAAACTGTAAGACAAAGTCTAAGTTTAAAAACACCAGAATACTTTTATTTCCTACGGCTCCCCTTCACCTCTTGTGTTACTAAGGGACCCATCAGTAGCCCTGCCCTTGGAA